ATCTTGCATACCACACTTTTCTCTTATCACACAATGTCTCGCCCTATCATTCAGATTCAGCATAGATCCCCCTGATATTCCTTTCTATCTGTTCGTAAGGTTTATTACAATCGGTACAGCAGTTTCGGTGATAACTATATTTGCAGTGCCCTTGCAGGGTTCTTGTTTCGAACATTTTTTTAAATATAAGACAAAATGTACAACAAGAATAGCAAATAAATTGAATTGAATTGAATTGAATAAGTCGGAACAAACAAACAGACAGACAGACAAAGATTTTTAAAATTGTGTTTTTGGTATCAGTACTATATATACTTTCATATGTATTCAGTAAATAGCCCATTTTGACGTTAAAACCAGACACTTCAATTTTATTTATTTGTATGGATGGATATAAAAAATGAATGCAGCTATATCATAAGCAGGACCACGCTCTCACAGATTACCACCGCAAAATAGCAGCTTAACGTTGCTGCGTTTCGAAGGTGAGGGTAGAGAACTGATGAACCTTTTTACTGGAAACGAGGCATTCTATCTTAGTCCACAAGGATGAAAACGCATATGAATTTTGTTTCACATTTGAGGATAAATTATGATATCTATGGGCCACAGTACCCACTTCATCAGATAAGCAGTGTGTTTTTTACCCTCATTTTATAAAAAAAATATTACATTATTAAATAATGATCATGCAATATTTTAAATATAAATAAGTAAATAGCGACACATTTAAAATGTAATTCCATATAATTATTTCTTTTATTTACGGGAACAATACACATTCAAATAATATTAGTTTTTACGGATTGTATCGCGTATATTAACTTTTTTCGTTTCTAGCACTTTACAGCACCCATGGTCACTTCCCGTGACGTGATAAAATCCGTAAAAACTAGTATTATTTAATTGTATTTATTGTCACTAGATTTCTTATGCTCTTACCAAAATACCACATATCGGAGTTTTATTTACAAATTGACATGCTGACCGTCAATTTATTATTTTGTAATCCGTACACACCGTTATCTATTTTCTGCAGGTTACAGTGCCGAATGTTTTTAAACTTTCAGAGGAGTTCTTTTTTTTCACACGTCGATTGAATCCAAAGGTTTTAAGTGGACAGAGAGTTTTATTTTTAAAAGTTGAAGTTGTATAAAGTTAGTAATGAAATGTGACGTTTACCAGCTATAGATAGTTTTAAAAATATTTTAAAAAGCCCGTATATCAATTAAGATAACAAAGGAAAATAAGGTAAACAAGACAAATAATAGATAACAATTAAATTAATTTTATCGATAATGAGATATATAGATCACAATTTAAAAATAAATAACCAAATATTCGACAGTTTATCGGTCAAATAATTATATAAATGATTCCCACACAGTTACACCAGTCCACTGCTAAACATGGGCTTCCCTACAAAGGGAAGAATTTGCTACAGTTGCCACGCGAGCAGGTGGGTTGGCAACCGCAGATTTTTACTACTTTGAGTTGTTTCAACCCATTTCCTGTTTCAAAATTCGTCTATTGGCTCTTACGACACTTACGATCTGGGGTGGTAGATATTCTAGCACTGCTTCTACACAGTTTACAAATGTATTCGTTATATGTTATCTAATGATAGGAAAAATCGGCCATTAATGGTGGTATAATCGAAACAGCACACGTAATTGACACCGCGTTTCGATCTCATTGTACATTCTATTAGTTTTAAAACGAATGTCAGGAAAACAAATTATTGCATCGTCCGTTAAATATCACGTGTGTCGAATGCAGTAGAGTTTAATTTACAGTACCTTAATTGCTTTCTGTAGGTTTTCGGTTGAAGAATAAATGGGGTGTCTAGACGGCATGACATTTAGCGTGACTTGTACAGTAATACTAACATTTAGGTGCATTATTTCTGGATAATAGACTGAATTATTAACTCTGTTCTCTTGTACTATTGTTAAAAATTGAGCAGTCATTTTATAATTTTTAGAAATTGAATGTGGACTGTAGAAATTCTTCCTATATTATTAAAGAGCCGTGGTAATTCAGAATCGCAACCCGGGTGTGATCCCCGCTGGCACCAATGAAATTGTTAACTGCAATGTTTAGTGCTGATTTAACACGAGATCGGCGTTTAAGAAAAACATCTTGTAGAAACCCGCATGTCTGAGAAATAAGAAGTAAATAATAGCACGAATCCATGTGAAGTTAGCTTACTCAAATTGGAGCAGTGTGGCGGACACTCCCTACGCTAAAACCCTCAGAAATAACAGGAGGTCAGTGACCGGCAGTGGGATGTATATATGCTGTAACTTTAACTTTTAACTTTAGTAAAGATATCCAACTTTGGACTGTAATGGTCTGTTAAGAAGAAGTAAAAAAGAAGAAAAAACAAGAAGTAAAACTGTGAGCAGTAAAGCGATCGGAGTATACACCAAAAAGACCTAATGGCCAGTGCATGGCCTACAATCGATGGCAGTATGTCTGGTGATTTGAAAGAAATGGGAAAATGTTAGTGGTTACAAGACGCTCGCCAGATGTAAACATCATAAGTGATGGCAGAATTTATAATAAATGAAAACCATTAAAGAAATAAGGAGTAAAATAAAAAAGAAGTTTATAGTGTACGCTCACGCACACAAAAGGGCGTCAAGAGCAGTGACGTAGTGGGCATGACGGCATTTAAGAGCGTCATGCCATTTGCTGTCACGGCACACGAGTCGGGTTTACTAACAAGGCGCCAATACATGTGTATATCAAAAAACTGTTTTTTCAATATAGGTTACAGATAATTCTTATTGAAATTGTAACAGAATTAAAAAAGAGATTATTAGTTATTATATTCATAAAACACTCAAGGTCGCTCAGCGAGCTATGGAGAGGCGCTCGGTCACTGTGATAGACTCAGAAATGAGGATATCGATGAAAGAATTAGCTGAGTGGTGGGGGGGAGAGGTTGGATGGTAGATGGGGGTGGGGGGTTAATGAATGTTTACCTAAATGAGGGCCACGTATATTTCTCCCATAGGGAGACGCTACTTTGGAATGTGGTTTAAAGGTAGTAGAGCCATGCTACAGCTATATAATGTGTCAGCTCGACCAGGGAAGAACCACGCACGCACGCGTAAAATTGCAGCCCAATGCAATGTGTTTTGTATGGTAAAGGTAGAGAACCGAGAACCCTTTTTATTGGAAACGAGGCATTCCATCTTAGTCCTCAGGGGTGACAACGCATCTGCGTTTTGATTCTTAATCGAGGATAAATGTAGATGTCTATGGTCCACAGCATCCACTTACTATCAGGTTGACTGTGTGCTCCTTTGTCTCCCATATTCTATAAAAAAAAGTATATTTAAAATTACGTTTACACTAAAAACAATATTTTAACTACAGTAATTCTATCAGCTGTGTAAAATGTTTTAAATTGTTGATGTACAGGAACAAAGTATTCGCCTGTCAGGTTACACAAAGAACGTGTATAAAGAGATGGTACAACTAGTACGTGCATATTTTTACATTTGTCCATTTGTTTTTGTTTAAGCTTACTGGTATAAAGGTTAATTTAATTATGTATAATGTTTTCGGGTGAGAGATTTTTGTTACAAAGGATTTCATTGTTGCTCTGTTAACGTGATGAGACTTTCCTTAATGTGGTATTTAAATAAGAGGAAATATGAAATATTTTATACGTGATAAAGCCACGCTGCAGCTACGAGTATATTTATATAGCTATCATTGTTGTAGCATGAATAAGTCGGCTCGATACGGGAAGGAACACGCGCTTAGAGAGTGCCAGCGTAAAACAGCAGCTTGATTCTGCTGTGATACGTACGGTAATGCAGTGAACCGTAAAACCTTTAGAAACGAGGTGTTCCGTCTTAATCCTCAGGGTTGTCAACGCATTTGCATTTAATGTATAACATGATAAATGTAGACGTCTATGGGCAATAGCCTTCACTTACCATTCGGTGCACTGTGTACTCGTTTTGTCACCCTAATTCTATAAGAAAAATATAGTTATCTTGTTCGAAAAAAATTGACATTCTTACCACATATATGTTTTATAATAATTATTATTAATAAGTGTATTCCATACCCAACACTACTACCCCCAATATCATTAATGTCTGCACTAGGTAATACACGTCACTGTCGATAGTACGATGCATTAAAGCAGTTTGTTTATCGCAATGTCTATTCCATACTATGACTCCTCGTTTGGAAGGTAAACACGTACTTACTCTTGATTTATACTCTACAACAAATTTAGTATACATGTAAGTCACTTGGATGCTTGTGATTTTGATAAGCCAGTCAGATTTTATATGAGTCAGTCGTAACTCGTCCGTGAATTTAATAAATGGAATAAGTATGACAAATGGGCACATATTCCAAATGATTGGAAGTGGATGCTGAGGCCTATAGACACCAGCATATAACCTCCATTAAGAATCACAATGTAGATCTTGTCACCCTGGACTAAGATAAATTACCTCCGTTTCCGGTAAAAACAATATCCGGTTCTCTTTACTCTCCGTACAAAACACAGCAGCATTAAACTGCTATTTTCTTTGCTGTGAGAGCTTTTTCATTCCCCAGTCGAGCTTATCCATTCGTACTGCAGCCATAATATGGCTCTATCGTGTACGAAATTCGGTTATGTTTCATTTTACTAGAAAAAGTTAAAACATTTTCAATTATCATCATGCCACAAATTAGAAGTTAATTTCCTCACATCGAGAAATATGCAGAACAGCATTTATAGCTGAACAGAAAAAAATCACATAAGTCTTTTCATTATATTAAAATGTTGGTATCTAGAATACAAGATTGAATAAGATTTTGCCAAACTAATCTAGTACCGTTTTAATTATTGGCTATCTCACCACTAACCGTTATGAGAATAATTCAAGAACTAGGATTTAGCTGAAGCTAAAGCTTTACTTGTATTTATAGAGGTGAGTTCAAAAAATACATTCTAATCTAAATATATTAGCATTACATACCTGTCCATCATATCGCCTTCAGGTCTGTTGATGGCAGCATCTTTAGAAGCGGAGTATACATAGACCCTGGCTTCAGCCTTGTACCATTTGATGCTGTGCATCTCGCCGCAGGACTTGCCGTCGATACGGCAGCGGAGGCGTGCAGTGTTGCCGACCAGAACTGATGCATGATCTGTGGACAAAGAAAAGGTTTTAATATTTTAGGTATTTGACTATGTAAGGACGTAATAAGAATGTTTTATCTCAGCGAATGTTTATTCTTTATTAAAATTGCTCCTTCGTTCAAACGTAACTCATTTCTAAACGGTGGCAGATTTTAAATTAAAAAAATGCCAACGAAATTTTATTTTCTTACATCAAAGAAATAAATATATTTAATTTCGTTTCAATGTTCATTTTAAAATACGAGGTTACTTTTGCGTTTTATTTATTTTATCTTTGTAATTTCTACATTTTATTACGATAGTAAATAAATTTCATTGTAATGTTCATTTTAAAGTATGATTTTATTTTTACGTTCGATTATTTCAAATTAGTTTATTACGTGAAACGTCACTGATTAGTATTTTCTCCTGTATCGGGATAGCGGTTGACATAAATAAATAGTCAAAGATTTACGTTTAGACCATGAGCAATTATTTCCAGATGGTGTCAAATATTTTACGAGCGGTATTTTAAACCCGAAGTCACATTGTATCCACTGTGCTTCTAAGCCGTCGATATTTATAATATGCCGTTATTATGATTTTAATCGCCGTGTACCGGCGGCGTAGAAGAATCCTGTGTTCTCTCATGACTAAAACCTATTTTTCAGTATTAAAAACTATTAATATTAAAAATACTTACTAATATATATACAGTAAAGAATTTCATTTATTATGCTGCAATTATAAAAAGAGTATTGTCACAGTCTCCAATGATCGCAACGCCTTACCGCGTGCACGAGACAGCGTAGATCCCGGAACGTCTCCGCACGTAATTTTTATATTTCATAACTTTGTGTTATGACACACACGAACTCAATGAGTGACATACAGAATGCGGCCTCCATATTAAGAACAAATAAACTATACGGAAGTTTCTTCGTTTGTAATAACAATAAATAAAATTATTTACTATTTCCAATAACAGATCTGATCATTTTGGATCCCATTTTTTTCTTTATATACGAACTATGATGTTAAGGGAATTAATGAATTGATTTCATTTTATTAAATAAGTTATACGTTAAGACTGGTCTCGTCTTAATTTGAAAAATCCATCCTAAGGGGGTGGAAAAATATGTGGATGGGGATATGGATTTTAATGTAACCATGACACTAGTTGTGTCCATTCAAAAGGATAAAAAAATTAAACTCTCAATAAAAAGTAAAATCAAATTTAAAAATTAAAACATTATTTCCATGCAATAGCTTCTGAAGTCGGAACCTTAAGATTTAAGCTTTCTTTGAATATAATTTACCTATCAAATGTTAGAGCAAGGTCTTTTTACAGAGCTTCGATTTGAAACCATACCCACCAACACCACCCACAATAATATAATTCAATGGAAATGTGACAAATTACAGACACAAATATTGCTTTCTTGGCCGCCCACAAAGGCTCATTAATTATGATTGGTTTATAATTAAAATAGTCTTTAAACTTGTTTTTAAGAAGTATGTTTAAAAGAATATTTCCTTACGCTATAGATAAAAAAGAACAGCGTAAACACAGTTTCGGTGCTTTGACTTGTAATGTTTCTCCAAAATTGAAAAATATTTTCTTTTATTAATTCCATTAATTAATACCAAATGAAAAATGGTTTTTAATTTTCTTTAAAAAATAATTAATTATATAAAAGGACTTGAGTTATTATTCTTACAAACTTAAAGCAATAAACGTTCTATAATTTTGATACTTAGGAAAGTTTAACGAATTATTTCGTCTCAAAACATTAATTAAATAATGGAATTTTAATCAACGGAAACTTTTATCCGCTAAGTCTCTGACTTAATAGTCAGTAATCTAAACACAAATGATTTTCGCCGCCTCCATCTAATGATAGAATGAAAATCAGAGGCTGAAATGAGATCATCACAAGCCCACACCCAAGGAATACCTTAAAGGTTCTGAGCTACTTAAATCCATCGAGTTCTTTTTTATATCGTTGGGGTGACAAACAAGCAAACAGTCTACCTGATGGTAATTTGATGCTGTTGCCCATACACATCTACATTTGCCCTCAATTAAGAATCAAAATGCAGATGCGTTGTCACCCCTGAGGACTAAGATGGAAAGCCTCGATTCCAGTAATAATGGTATCCGGTTCTCTAAACTCATCATAAGGAACGCAGGAGCATAAAGTTGTTATTTTTTTTTAAATAAACTATAACTTAAAATTTATTAATAAGACTTATTATCTCAACTTAATCATAAAAATTTAAGTGAGAATAGTTGCTAACCAACTTTTTTGGTAAAATACTAGTAATCCTATTAATTAACATTACTAATATTCCTTTGAACCAATCCTGGTAAGCTTAAAATGCTTGTGTTAGGACTGCTTCACGACAGTAGTCAAATGGCGGATTCGAACACACGACCTTTTGAGTTCGTGATTCCATTAGGCTAATGTTGCTTCTTTAAATCTTTATACATCCTAAATAATCATTCAAAATGCAAAAAGATTAGAAAAACCTAAAGAAGATTTTTGAAGATCTATTAAATTATACCCAATTGATATAGTTCATAGACTTTCATTTGTTCTTTATCACAATATGGCGTCTAATTGTCGCCATATTAAATTTGGTAACTCTTATGTCTATAGTGCCCCTCACAAGATTAACACAATTGATTGACGTATCATCAAAATCGGGCCACGCGTTTAGTCTCTAGAGTGTCACAAAGGAACAAACTACATATAGTCTGATCAACACATTAACGTACTTTGTGTCGCGTAGTCGGGTAACGAGAAATCGCAAAAGCATATTTGTCATTCCCACCGGAGTATTAGCGCGTTTATTTCATTTCCAAGGTTTAATTTAATCTGCGACTCGCTTAATATTTTTATGAGTTGCGACTGGAGATCACTGCATTGCGATTGCAAGGTGCTATTAAATGGTGGGCGAGCGAGCGTGAATTAAGCTGTTTTATTCTCGTTTCGTTCGATGTTGAATTGTTTATCAAAACAAGTGTCTATTACAACGTTGGTACTAATTAGAAATGTCAGAATACTACTCTGATATAGATTAACGTGGTAGAGCCAGGCTGCAACTTTATTATAGTTATAGCAGGAAAGAGTCGGCTCGATCGGGGATCGACCACGCTCTTACAAAATACTAACGTAAAATTGCAGCGCCATGCTGCTGTGTTTCGTGTATTGTATAGATGTAGACAACCGGAGACCCTTTTTACTGGAAACGGGGAATTTCATCTAAGTCCTCACCGGTGACAACGCAGTTGCATTTTGATCCTTAGTATAGGATAAATGTAGATATCTATGGGCCACAATCACAGGTGGACTGTGTGCTCGTTTTTTACCCTTATTCTTAAAAAACAGATATCTATCACTAAAACAGATATAAACTATAATAGTTCAAAACTAAATATAGATCTCTTCATATAATACTTCATATAGGAGAATTTTCCATAGTTGACATGCTTATTTCGAGTTATCAGGAAGATGCTGCTGCCCATATCAGTTTCCATCTGTCGCCTCTTATGACGCCCACGGTACGATATGGGGTAAAGGATATCATAATAGCGCCACCAGAAGGTTTTACTATAACCAGTGGGACGATCAGGGTTGCCGATTATATATCAACCACTATTAAGTAGTTTGTGTAGCGTGTGAATTGACAATGATTGCACGTGTTGTCGTTCCATCACAGCCAGGACAGCGGGAAAACCCCGCCTGCTATTTATTTTGCTGTTTATTTTATATATATATTTATATATATATATATATATATATATATATATATATATATATATATATATATTTTTGTGTGTGAAGTTGTGCGAGGAAGATAACTTGCTGCTGAGTATTGTATTGTTCCACGAGAAGTTACTTTATATGCTTGCGTAAAGTTTTTTTGTCTTGGCAATTAACTCATTTTACGGATTTTATTCTCATTAATTAAAAAAAATACACTTCAACTTTTAATTATTACGATAACCTTCGTTAACTATACCATCCTGACGTTAAAACCCTCAGTTCCCTCGTGACCACGGGTAATTTAAAGTGCCCGAAATGTTGGAAATTAAAAAAATTAAAATTAAACGCGTTCAAATCCATCCAGTTTTATTCCATGTGTTGTTTTGCGTAAATATAAAGAATCGTTACTTTGTCTTAACTAAGTGATCATTGATTACCTCAGAACGTTATATTTTCAATAATAATCTTCAGGAAAATGATAAGGCATTACAGATTCATCAGTATCAGAGATCAAAAGGAAGAGATCATGTATTTTTTACGCAACCATGATATCGACATCAAGCTAGTGCACCTTCTTGAAACCTAGTTTGAGCGATCCCAAAATAGCCAATTATATCTTAGTAAGAAATGATAGGCTGACCGGACCTAAAGGCGGCACCTTGATCTACTACAAAAGGTCCTTGCAATGTGTACCGATAGATACTCCGCCGCCTACTAACTTAGAAGCGTCGGTCTGTAGGATAGCACTTACGGGCCATCCGCCAATAATAAGTGCATCAGCATACATGTCTCCCTTAAAAAGTATATTAGATTCCGACATATCGGCTCTATTAAACCTAGGCCCTAGCGTATTAATCGCGGGAGACCTAAATAGTAAACACGTTAGCTGGAATTCTAACGTTAACAATCCTGACGGAAATATTTTAAGAGACCTCACGGAGAGACTTAACTTCGATGTTATCGCTCCCGAGAGTCCAACACGCTATCCTTTTGCAAATAACCAACATCCGGACGTCCTTGATATAGCACTGCTAAACGAACGAACGAACTCCCAGCATTTGGACACTATACCTTATAAGATAGACTCGCTAGAGGAGGCCGACAGGGCGATTAGCGCCCTTTCGACTCACTTCACATCAGCGGTTGAAGAATGCTCCCGTAAAGTTCGTGTGTCGAGCGATCAATACACGAAACTTCCGGTGGATTTTCGACGGCTGATTAGAGAGAAGAATTCCGCGCTTAAAAAATATGACCGCTACCGCACGAAAGCCAATAAACTTCGGGTACGTTCTCTATAAAATGAGATTAAACAACGAGTAGCCGAGTTTAGAAACGATAGCTGGTATAACCTCTTAGAAGGTATCGAACCATCTCAAGATGCCTTCTGGAAACTAACGAGAGCTCTTAAAGCCGATATATCCTCACCGATGCCGCCTCTCGTGAGGCCGGACCACCCTGATCTCGCTCTAGACGATCTCGAAAAAGCCGAATGCCTAGCCGACAGTCTAGAGTACCAGTGCACGCCATCCACCGCACCAATAGATGCCGCTCACCTACTAGAGGTAGAAACGGAAGTAGAACGTAGGTCTGCGCTGCCACCAGCGGGCGAACCACTCGATCCTGTGACAGTGGATGAAGTCACCGAAACCATCAAAAGCCTTAAGAATAGATCAGTCCCTGGGCCAGACGGCATCAGCAAGAAGGTGATCAAATCTCTTTCGGCGCCACTTATTTACCTCCTTGTAGGAATATTTAACACTTTTCTCACGAACTGCTCCTTCCGGGACATCTGGAAAGAAGCAGACGTAATAGGGATCCCAAAACCGGGTAAACCGCGTAATCGTCCCTCTAGCTACAGACCCATTAGTCTGCTCAACACTTTGGGTAAGCTATACGAGCGCATTATTCACAAGCGTCTCCGTCAATACACCGAATCCAACAGACTCCTCCCAGACGAGCAGTTTGGCTTTAGAGCCAATCACTCATGCACCCACCAGATTCATCGCCTAACAGAATACATTCTGCCTGGCTTCAACCAAAATCCGATAAGGAAAATATTCTTCGATGTCACGAAGGCGTTTGAAAAGGTGTGGTACGACGGCTTGATTTACAAGCTGTACAAACTAAACTTGCCC